TTAATATGCGGAGCCGACAGTATCGATGAAGCTCGAGCGATTCGTGATTAAGTGATCGCATTGCTAGCCCGCGATAGTTTAATTATCAAACAGTGGGCTTCCAATAAGGAGCATGTTGTCAATCAATCTTGCATCAATGATCTTGCAACTGGCGCTTTACATGCTGGGTTCACGTTCGACGAAGATCGCTCCTTAAAAACTCTTGGTGTAACGTGGTGTGCACGTGACAATGAGATACATTACTCTGTCCGATCTATTAAAATTACAAAGCGGTGTATATTGTCGGAGATCGCAAAAATTTTTTAGATTGTTAGGACCTGTTGTTTTCAACGCCATAAAACTAATGCAGGACGTATGGCAATGTTAACTTGATTGGACGAATCCGTTCCACAGAGCATGCACACAGCGTGGCTAGACTTTGTCCAACAACTCGAAACGATAGATCAAATTTCCTTCAATCGTAAATTATTAATCGAGGAACCCCGTGACGTTCAATTCCTCAGATTCTACGATGCCAGTAATAACGGATACATATGCATTTACGTACATTCTACAGGAAAGAACTGAAATACAATTAGATTATTATGCGTCAAATCTCGTGTTGCACCGTTAAAGAATGTTATAGACTACTATCCCGCTTTTTGAGCTTTGCGGCGCGCTATTGGTTCGCTTATATCGGGAAGTGAACGGCATATTAACGATGGGGTCAAACCAACCTTTCAGTGTGATTCCATCTGTCGTACTTCATTGGCTGAAAATCATCCCATCTACTCAATACGTTCATGGCAAATCGCGTCGCTGAAGTACAGGAGCTCACCAATCCAAATGAGTGGCGACATATCAGATCGCAGGATAACCCTGCTGATGCGATCGAGAAGACAGTTACCGCACGCATTTTCGCGAAATCGAATCTGATTTACCGGACCTGCGTGGTTAAGTAAAGGTAAAAATAAGTGTCCTGATAATCTCGTGCAAGTTAACGACATATCCGAATTGCAAAAGAATATTTGTTTGTTATCTAATGAATCTGAAATAATTGAAAGATTCTTCTCATATTCTAAGCTATTAAGAATCGTGGTATACTGTCTGCGCGTGTTTTCCGGCAACAAATACATCGGGTCGTTATGCGTAGAGGAAATAGACGAAGCTAAAATACGGGTATTGAAAATCGTTCAGGCTGCTCAATTTTCTGCCGAAATTAAAATTCTTTGAGATAAGGGCTCTACGATTAATTAATAAATTCGCGAATTTGAGTTTGTTCATAGTTGATCAAGATTTAATTCGTGGAGGGCGCCTTCAAAATTCGGGTGTAACATTTTCAAGAATGCATCCTATTCTATTGCCGAGTCGACATAATTTGACTGACCGCATTATTCACAAAATGCACGAGAGATATCATCATGCCGGCATTCAAACGATATTCTATAATCTTCGACAAAGATATTGGTTAATCGACGGTCGGAATTAGGTGCAGAAAATTGTACACTCATGTGTACGATGTTTTTGGTTCAACGCTAGTAATGTTGAACATACAATGGGAAATCTCCCACCAGCTCGCGTATTAATACCGTTCACCAATACCGGTGTCGATTTCTGCGGCCTATTTTATATTAATAAAAAAAAATCGTAACAGAGCTCGAATTAAGTACATATTTATATTCGTATGCATGTCTATTAAAACAGTACATCTCGTAATTATTAACAATTTAACTTCCGACGGATTTCTCGCAGCATTGCGACGATTCATCGCAAGACGGGGCATGCCTAAACACATTTACTTAGATAGCAATACTAACTTTGTAAGCGCGAACAATTAAAAGAAATGTACGCTTTATTCAACTTCGATAAACACAAAAAATCCGTAAATAAATTCGCCTGCGACCATCGTATCACGTGGCACTTCATACCTACGACGCCACACTTTGGGTGATTATGGGAGTTCATGGTTAAGCTATTCAAACACTATTTCAAACGTATTGAGGGAGATTCGTTATTTACATTCAAGGAATTAAATACATTTACTTTCGAAATCGAGAGCATTCTAAACTCCGGACCAATTACATCTCTTTCTTCCGATCCGAACGATTTACTCGTGTTGTCATCCGCTCACTGTCTAATCAGCGAACCGCTAACAACCCTTCCGGAGGGCAATTTAACAAGTTCCAGCCTAGCTATCAGTTGTCCACCTAGCAGCACATTTCCAAAGTATGCCAGGATTTCTGGACACACTAGAATCTAAAATATCTAAATGATCTTTAAATACGCAGCAAATGGATTAAGGATAGTCCAAAGCTTGCTATCATGGTGCTCATAAAGGAAAAGAACTTGGCGTGCAATCAATGGGCACTTAGAAAGATAACCAAGGTACATCCAGGCGACAACGTATAGATCGGGCCATTATAGTTAAGACAATAAACGGAAAGATAGAAAGAACGGCGAAATATTTAAGTCATCAGTCATAATATTGCAATATGTTGGGCGATTATCAAAAAATGCATTGCACACGAAGCGCGTTAGCATTAAGACAAAATGTCTCGAATATAACAAACTGTACATAAGCATACAAATACCTCTGATCTAACCGATGCGCAATCATATTACAAGTTGACTTTATACACGTAAGCGATTTCATATGCGTACATTTAAAATATAGTTTATCGATCCCTCTCAACGGGGGAGAATGTTATACGTCTAATAGTCGTGCACAACACATTAAAAAAAGCAATGGACGGACAACACACTCACATATATGGCCACGTTAATATAATACAAAAAAAATCAAAGAAAAAACCGACAGCTTAACGAAACAAAAATTCGGCGCCTTTCTGTATGATTTGTAGGATTTTTTTTTATTTACACAATGTAGTTCTCGAATTGTTCTACACATAAAAGTATTAAGGTAGTGATATCAAAAAACTAATAATTCACGAGATGTTTTATATTTTATTCTGTCACCTGTTGGCATAAAATATTAAATACCCCGTAAATTATTAATTTTTTGATAATTGTACCTTAATACTTTTATTAATTATGTGTTTTCTTTCTACCAACTGATTTATCTCATTATTCAGTCCATAAAAGTATTAAGGTACGATTATAAAAAAATTGCGATTATAAAAAAACATATATGCATTGTCATATATGATTGCCTTCAGCTCCAATAAAGCTTTGACACTATAAAGCAATATTATAAAGATTAAGTTAGCTCATGGTCCGTTTTACAGACGGATATGGCAGTTTATGCTTATGCCCCAATTTTAAATTAAAATCGTATTATGAAAAAAACCAAGAGAAAGAATAATATAAATAAAACTGATTTAAAAAACTACAAGCATCTAAAACGACATAATATAATCAATAATATAGTCACTATCATTTAAACTACAATATACAATTTGCAAGAATATATAGTAAGAATTTTATTTTCGAAGAATTCGTTTTTAGCTGATTTGGATAGAAACAAGTCATAAATATACGAATTATGAGTCTGTACTTCTTTAATTAGCTAAACAGGTCATGATTTTATTAGTATTAATAAAGTGCAATAGTTAGTTCCTGAGAAATAAGAGGATGTCGCTTTAGAAGATCTAAATATGTCAATATCGGCACTTTTCCTGTACTTATTATTATTATTATTATTATTAGGCGTTAGGAACTCGAAAGCTCATTGCCGCAAATACTAAATCCCGCCACTGTTCCCGTCCCTGAGCAAGATCCCTCCATTTCTGACCCTCGTACCCCATTTCGTTAAGGTCCATTCTAATATTAATATATTTAATATATTCTAATATTAATATTAATAACACTGTTAACTGCATCAACTTCTATTACTTTCATGCTCAAATTGCATAAATTTTGAAGAGTCCGAAAATTTAATATTTTAATTGTTAGTCATTGCAACTATAAAAGAGTATATTCAACTGTGCACATTATTAGTTTATTCGACTATGTACTCGTACATTAATTCTATATGTAAAGTATACTTTTTGTATACTTTTTACTTTTATAATTGCTATTACTATGTTTTTGTTTGAATGTATACAATTAATATATAGAGCGTTCAAAAAGTTCCGAATCTCTTAAATATCTTGAAAAGTAAGCATTTTTGGAAAAAATGTCTCATACAAAAGTTATACAATTAAAAATGTTCTATTTAATGATCTTATCAGTTCAAGCTTAGGTGGCATCACCAAGGTCAGATCAAAATCAAATTGATTTCTTTTTAACGAAACAGCTTAGTTTTTATTTCAAAATTTAATAGCTGATGTCAAGAGCTTTTCAAAACAATATAATAAAGTTACTTTCCATTAAGTACTTTTCAAGCTTGGAAATTACAGTACCGCCGACATTAGCATTACCCAACGTGTCCAACTGTTGGCTAAAACCTCTTGAATATCAGGATCATGTCCTGGATAACATTTGATTAAGACCATAGGAGACTGTTTCTCTTATTTTCATGTTTGCACTAAAAATTCATGTTTACTCATGTTTAATTCATGTAAAAATGAAAATAAGAGGTACAACCTCCAATGGTCTTGATCTTGATAAATGTTATCTAGGTCTCGATCCTAAATAATATTTATAAGGTTTTAGCTGTTGGTCAGACACTTTTGATAGTGCTAATGCCGGCAATAACTTTTAATCTTTATAACTCGAAAAGTACTTAATAAAAAATAACTTTTTTATGTTTTGAAAATCTCTTGATACCAGCTATTAAATTCTGGCATCAGAGATAGTGTTCCATTAAAAATTCGATTTTACTTTGATTTGATTTTGGCGACGCCACCCAAGGTCAAACTAATAAAATAGTAAATTGACTACTTTAAACTATATAACATTTGCGTGAAACATTTTTTTCAGAAATGCTTATTTTTCAAGATATTTAAAGGGCTCGGGACTTTTTGAACACCTTGTATAATAGTATAGGTGATATTATGATAGAAGAAATAGAGATGTATAAAATAATAGTCAACAAAATTTTATAAAAAAGAAGCATAGAAAAATTTATTAAATATCAGTTTATCTGATTTTAACTTACCGTAAACTGAATAAGGATAGAATTTCTTGTTATATTTCAGTAATTCAAGATTGGCGAATGTATAGAAGAAGATTACAAGGACAATTCCAGGAGTAAGGATGCCCCAACAAATTCGCCAGAATATCGACAGCCGTTTCTTCAGCATAAATTCGACATCGTTCAGAAAGTTACTCAGTCCTAAAATCGTTCGTTTTAAATAATAATTTGAATAATTAATTGACAAATATAAATTTGTTAAGCGAAATTATTACGGACGGAGAGAAACGTACCATATGACCAAGCGACAGCAATCATTTCAAAAGCAGCCGGTAGAAAAGCGATAAATGAGGTCACATAATAATCAACGAAAGTTATCATAAACTGGCCGCCCTGTGAAAATTTTTTCAATTAAGATAAAAACAATGATTTAGCAAAAATAATTGTTAATGACACCTAATTACCGGCGTGACGTATATAAGACCGATTAAGAACTCGCAGAGGCAAGTGCCGGCTGCTATGTGCCAGTACCTGACCTTCGGGAACTGATCATGTACGATGGAAATTATGGCGGAAGCGAGACCAACCTCGCTGCCAATACCCAGGACGAATAGCATCGCGAAAAATACGACACTAAAGAACTGCGGTGCGATCGTAAACTTAGCGATCGTTTCCGGATAGGAAATGAATGCCAATCCAGTGCCACCTCGAACCACTGTCCCGATGTCCTCGATCCCTAATTCGCGACTGAGATTACCTAGAATGGCGAAGATTGTGCAACCAGCCAGCAGACTAGTAAAGGTATCCAGCGTTGTCACGATCATTGCGTCCCTGATGAATAATGAAATCCGTTTACAAATTGTCACATAACAGTCAAACATCCATCTTGTATCTAATTAACATATCATTTATAAATATTTATCCAACTATAGATATTTTTATATTAATAAAAACACAACGAGTTGTAGAGAAATCTTTTTTATTAGATTTTATAAGAGTGTCAAGTAGTTATCGTAAAATACCGAAGCAGAACTATCCAAATGATTCGTGTAGAACTTTCCAATCAATATACCCAGATAGCACACGACATCCATTGGATGTCCAATGGATGTATCGTGCTTCTGCAATAATGAAAATGGTTGCAAATTCTCTAATTTTGTGCGTGTGCGTGTGCGTGTGCGTGTGTATGTGTGTGTGTGAAATAATAAATGAAAATAAGAGTATGCTTGGAAACGAGACCGTCTATATATATATTAAAACTTTAAATATAAAGCGCCTTCCCGGTCCGAGTGTTAAGATGTGAGTCATATGACCAAGCGACAGCAATCATTTCAGCTTGATCACTTGAAATTATCGGATTCACACAATCAATCTAAAACAAACAATCCCCCCAAATTTTAAAAAACTGTAATAAACTTATTGCGAAAAATATTGGCTCTTTATTTCTGGAATATTAATTCAATTTAAATGAATGTATATTAGACAGTAGTTGAACATCTTAACACTCGGACCGGGAAGGCGCTTTGTATTTAAAGTTTTAATATATAGATATATAGACGGTCTCGTTTCCAATCATATTGTTTATAAACGCACGCCTATACATGCGTAACTCACTATACATATCGGTTATTGCGAAGAATGTTGCTAAGGTCTCTGTAGTCTAAAGGCTTAGGACGCTCGCAAGGAATGCAAGAGATCCGGGTTCGACTCCCGACCGAGGCAATATTTTTCGCAATAAGTTTATTACAGTTTTTTAAGATTTGGGAGAATTTGGGGGGATTATTTGTTTCAGATTGATTGTGTGAATCCGATAATTTCATCGGCTCTCAATTTATTTCTGGAATATTAAATTTAAATGAATGTATATTAGACAGTAGTTCAACATCTTAACACTCGGACTTTGAAAATAAGAGTGTTTTAACTAACCGATACAGATCATGGTGGAACTTGTTGTGCGAAGCAAACATGACGACAGCACCAAAACAAACGGTTAATGAAAAGAAGCATTGGGCAACAGCGTGATACCAAATCATTGGCGTCAACAGTTTCTCCCATGTCGGAGTGATAAAGTAGAAGATACCAGTGACAGATCCATCCAGCGTGACTGCCCTTATAAGCAGCACTATGAGAACTACATAGGGAAATATCGCCAGAAAATATGCTGCCTTGCCAGAACTGCGCACGCCGCGTATCACCACAAGGAAGACCGTCAACCAGCTGACGAAGAGCGTAAGCGACAGACGCCAGTCCGGTGCACCGATGCCATCGTTAATGCTGTCCTTTTCTCGCAGTACCTCCTTGCTGGACAATTGCAATATCTTTGTTATATCGTTAATGTGTTAACTTTTCAACAAGTAAATATACAGAATATTCCAAAAATATCAGATGTTCTAAATTCTTTGACTGAACTAATTTTGTGGATTTTTTTTAAGTCGAGAAGATTTATGAATTGTTACAGTAAGAGAAAAACATAGTGACAACTATAAAAGTGACAACTTTTATACGTAGAATTAACATCATATACAAGTTTTTATGTAAAATTAAAGTACATAATTAAATAAATTACTTTATAGTTACACTGCTACTTAGTTGTCACTTATACAGAATATCTAATATTAGTAATTACATAAAACACCATGGAGAGGTAGAGTGAACTAAACTGAATCGAAAAGTTACTATCTTGGAATTTTAGCAACAGTTAACGATAATAATTTCTAAGGATTACCAAATAAGTGTATATCCGTCGGACATAATGCAAGCGCGTAACACGATGATACAGCCCAGCACGAGGACAGGTTGTTCGCTATTCGTACATTACCATTTGTAGTAAACAACTCTCGCACCTAGCAAAACCTACGACGATGGAAGGTTCTATCTTGTCACGCGCTTGTATTTGATTGTAGGGCATGTTATTGTTGTGCATGTTATTTAGCAGTTAGGATAATAGAGTTCTAACCCATAGGGTTAAAGGGGGGCGCAGGGTGCAAGGAAAAAGCGCGGTGGGAGAGCAACGCGGGGAAAATCCGATCGACGGCATCTATTTACCATACATAAACATAGGATCCCGATCGATTGATTACATAAACATGTATAAACATGATAACATTCAACTGTGCGTTCCGTATTTTTTTCATCACCCGCCGCCGCTGCCCTCCCCAAAAATGCATCGGTAACAAAGGCTTGCATACACTTACCGCATATATTGTACTTATCATCTCTCTTCCTCTTATGTTTTGTCATCTTTCTCGCCACGTTGTCGCTCCCGTTGTATCTTTTTCTCGCACGCACAAATATTTTATCACACGTTTTTTATTTAATGACTTAAATAGAAAGAACGCTTAATACGGTCGTGACCGTCTGTCGCAGTATCATTGAGCGCGAAGATGTTGGCGGCGCGCGTAATATGATGCGATAATAAGAAAGGAATGAATAATATCATACACCTAGATATATAGTTTAAATATGCGTTTATAAACTTTTTATAAACCTTTAAATAAATTTATTGTGAAAAATATTACCTTGGCCAAGACTTGAACCCGGAACTCTTGTATTTCATACGAGCGTCCTGAGCCATTAAACTATCGAGGTCTTAGTAATTCACAGTAATCAACTTCACAGTAATCAAGTTTTTCAGCACATTAATACCCTTATAATATAATATTGGATTGAAGATTGAAAATTTGCTTGTCAATTTAATTTAACTTGTGATATTATTGCAGTAGTTTAATTGCGTTTAATAAATAAAGTCCGGAAAAATTTTGGCGCGCAGTTTGAATAACTACAAAAATATGGCATATATGCATATATAAATATATATATATATAT